AAGTGTGGCAGCGGTAGTGAGGTTGGCCCAGGATCGGATATTGTTTCATTCTGCTGTGCATGGGGTCGCTATGAGTCGGTTCTGACTCGATGGCACCTGGCAACAACAACAACAGGAAAAACTGCAGAACAAAGAAACCAGCAGCAACACAAAATGAGTGGATTCAATTCATACCTATTGCTAATTACGCTGAATGTCAACGGATTAAATGCACCAGTCAAGAGACAGAGAGTAGCAGAATGGATAAGAAAACAGGATCCCTCAACATGCTGTCTACACAAGTAACACCTTACACTCAAAGACAAATTAAAGGATGGAAAAAAACTTATAAAGCTAATGGCAATCAAAAATAAGCTGGAGTAGGAATATTAATCTCTGATAAAATAAGACATTAAAGCAAAACCAGCCTAAGAGAGAAGGAAGGACATATGAGTAAAGGGCCATCTGAACAAGATGATATAACCATAACAAAATCAATGTTTCCAATGAAAGAGCCTCAAAATAAATAAAACTGTAACAAAACTGAAGAAGGAAATACATAACTCTAAGGAGCTCTGGTAGCATAGTGGTTACGAATCGGGCTGCGAACCTTAAGGTCAGCAGTTCGAAACTACCAGCCACTCCGCGGAAGAAAGATGAGGCTTTCTACTCCCGTAAAGATTAAAGATTTACACCCTCGGAAACCCTGTACAGGGTCGCTATGGGTGGGAACCGACTCGATGGCACTTAACAACGACAACAACAACAACAATAATAGTAGGAGATTTTAACATACCACTGGCAAAAAAGAAAAAAAAAGGGCAGGACAACCAGAAAGAAACTCAACAAAGACAAAGAGGATCTAAAAACACAAACAACTTGACCGCATAAATTTATACAGAGCACTCAACCCAGCAACAGCATAATACACATTCTTTTTCAGTGCACATGGGATATTTTCCAGAATAGACCATATGTTAGGTCACAAAGCAAGCCTCAATAAATTTTAAAACATCAAAATACTACAAACGGTCTTCTCAGATCACAGTGCTATAAAATTAGAACTCAACAATAGGAAGATCAAGAAAACAAAATCAAATATATAGAAACAGAATAACACCCTACTTAAAAGCCACTGGATAACAGAACAAATAAAAAAAGGAAGTAAAATTATATATGCCTGAGTAACAAAAAAACCAAAGTGGATAGAGAGAAATACTGTTAACTGATGGTACATGGTAGGGATTATAATCGTTGTAATGAAACAAGGTGTACGATTTGTTGAATGTAAAACTGATGATATGGCCTATAAACTTTCACTCAATCCCCAATAAAAACCTTATATTAAAAAAAAAAAAAAAGGAAGTTAAAAATTTTCTAGAAACTTATTTGAATGAAAATACAAAATAGCAGAACCTTTGGAA